GGGTGTGGAGACAACCCTTTTTTGCCGACCACATGGCCAAGATATTCTACGCTTTGTTTTCCAAATTCACACTTTGCCAACTTCAATTTCAATCCTGCTTCAGTGCATCGTTCGAAAATGAATTGAAGGTGTCCTAGGTGTTCCTTTTCCGTTTGGGAGTAAACAATAATATCATCGACAAACACGTAGGCAAAAGATCCAATGGCGGTTCCCAAAATTTGCGACATCACCCTTTGAAAAGTGGAGGGGGCATTTGTTAACCCAAAAGGCATCACCAGGAATTCATAGGTTCCATATTTAGTTGTAAATCCTGTCAGCGGAATTGAGTCAGCGTCCATCGGAACTTGCCAGAAACCAGATGCTGCGTCCAGCGTCGAAAATATACACGCATCTCCTAGAGCATCGATAATGTCGTCGATGTGGGGTAAAGGAAAGGAGTCCTTGACCGTCACCGCGTTCAGCTTCCTGTAGTCCACGCACATTCTGAGGTCTCCTGTCTTCTTCGCTACAAAAATTACAGGGGCTGCATACAGTCCTTGGGAAGGCTGGATTAATTTTTCTGCCAACAAATCATTCAGCGTGCTCTTGAGCACGTCGTCTTGTTCCCAGGTCAATCTGTACGGCTTCCCTGCGATAGGCCTATCTTCGTTAACCATAATGGTATGGCAGAAATCAGTCACTAAACCGGGACCAGTTTGTTCGACGAAACATGCTAGGTATCGGGTCACTAGATCATGGACAGCCTGGTTGTCGGACTTGATAATTGCGCCCTCAGATCCGTCGGTCCCAATTGTTTTTTTTTTTTCAACTTTTTCTTTCGTTGATCCATCCCCACTGCCAACTTCCATCCCGATTGTTTTGTCGACTTCGACTCCATCCCCACTGCCCCAATACAGTATGTCCTTAATACTACCAACTTCGGGAGTCGAGCTTGGAGTAGCGATATGATATATGCGCGATAGCACTGCAGGATCATTTTCACAAACGCAACCTCTTATCAGTAAGTTTTGTTCAGGTTCCTTACATACTGGCAACTTGAGTTCCAAGGTGGCAGGTAATGGCGTAGCTTCATAGCGTTGTAACCATGGCATACCCAATAGTAATAGGTCATCGTTGCGGTCTTGTACAATCATGTTATCAGGGCGTTTGTAACCAGCCACTTCGATGGGGACCCCATGGCAGAGACCACCCGGTTTTGTTGTCGACTGGTCCAAATTCTCCACGGTGAAGTTCATGTCGCCATCCACCACCAGTCCAAGACGATGCACTAGCGCGGAACTGATAACGGAAAGTGCTGCACCAGTGTCTACCACGGCTTGTAGTGGTTTACCAAGGATCGTAACAGGGACAGAGAACGGCAATAGTTTTTTCATCTCCTTCCCGTCTGCTATACTCAATACGTCTTCATAGTCATCGTCTTTAGGGAAATTGTTCCACGATTCTTCCACGTCACTTTCCACTTCAGAGTATTCAGCGTCACCGTCTTCATCAAAAACTGAATCATCGTCAAAAGAGTCATCGTCTACGTCTTCTACGGCTACAGCGACGTTAATGCGGGTAGGGTTGGCCTTGAACGGTGAAGGAGCAGCACCTGTGTCAGTTATCGCAGCGGGCATCACAGGGCGTTTGGCGTTTCGACCATGGCAGTAACGGATACCATCCACCACGTCTTTCGCCAGTTTTTTGTCTCTGGCGAGGATCTGCGCGAGGGATACACCACCTGGTCCAGCCGTCGTATTTTGCATCACATTCCAAATGTCAACTGGGGGCACATCCACCTGTAGACGACGGAGAGGACCTCTTTGTTTCGGTTTCCCATCAGGGGTAGGCGGCACGTCCTTGATCACCAACTTGCCTGTGGCGTCAGTGTGTCCTCGTCGCTTCCTATGTTTTGCATTGTACACCTTCACACCTTGTATTGCGCGTATTTGCGTCTCACTAAGGAAATTTTGGGAAGTGTAAGCGTCGTCATCGTTTTTTTTTTCGCTATTTATTTTTTTTTTGTCACGATCATCCGTCGTTCTTATCGGGATAGTTGGGGGTTGTAGGACAATAGGTATCCCTTGGTCTATTGTCCCTGGTCTTTTCCCGGACCTTGATGTTGTTGGTAAGGATCACCACGGTTTTGACGGGGGAATGGGCAGTTGCGCACAAAATGGTTGGGATCGCCGCAGTTGTGACAGGTCCAGCCGTTTCCTTGTTGGCGGGAAGGTTGGAATGGACCACGTGGGGTGTTGCGAGAAGGACCAGATTCATAGCGTTGGCCATAATCTTGAGGTACTTGATAACGTCGCGCTGGTGCTTGGGTGGGACGGGGAGTGAAGTGGACCTTGAGCTTGCCGAGCGCGTCGGCTAAATTGTCCATCGTGTCAGTGATGCTTTCATTATCTCGGCTTGGTAGATACCACTGTTTCTCTTGATCCATAGGAGTTGAGTATGGGGAAGGATCTTGTTGCTCTCGATAATCTTGATTTTGCAAACTTCCATGATGGTTGGTGCGGCCATATTTGCTCATGATGATTTCTTCCTGACGGGCATAACTAATGGCTTCGTCGTAGGTGGTAGGGCGGCTGCGTTCCACCCACTTGGCTAGTTCCCAATTTAGTGACTTAATCAAATGACGTTTCTTTTCGCTATCATTTGTGATATCGAGACGAAAGAAAAGTTCTTCGAGAGCTAATTTCAAGGCAGAGACCGACAACGTGTCTTGTTTCATGGAATCCAACTTCCTACGCCAACTTTCTTCCAGGTCGCTTGGCACAAACGTTTCCTTGAATCTTGCAGTGAAGGCGGCCCACGTTTCCGGCTTTTCCATTTTCTTGTCATATTGGGTCGCAGCAGCGCCTTTCAAAAACGTAGGTGCTACCTTGAGCCTCTGTTCCTCAGTTAGGTCTAAGGCATCCATCCAGGTTTCCATATTTCGTAACCACAACATTGGGTTTTCCAATTGAGGGTCGCCTTTGAAGCTGTCGGGCTTGTCAATTAAGTTGTACAATTCGATTGAGTTGGTCATGATTGGTACGATGTAAAGTGTCAAAAAGAAAAAAAAACGAGGTAGATGTCTGGAAAAGTATACGGTTCAAGTCGGGGTTCGGAAGGGAAGCGAAGAAGTAAAAGTGTAAAGAAGAAAAAAAGATGTCGTGCGGTCACTGTTGCAGTAGGTAGTTGTAATAATAAAATTGTGTATGCTCCTCTCCTCCACCAAAATGATATGACGGCACGTGTGGGTGTATAGGGAAAAGGGTTTCGGACTGCAGGAATAGAACAAAAGTACGGGTTTTCTCCTTCTTTCTGTTGACCTTTCACTTCCGCTTCAAAACGTCAAAAAGAGATGTGTTTAATCAGGGTTCAGATGTCAAAAAATAAAATAAGAATTGGAAGCGGAGAGAGAAAAAAACAAAAAAGGGAAAAGGAAAATGGCCAATCACAATTATTCGGCAATTCGGGCCGAATCGGGCGCCGAACTGCCGATTTCACAACAAGGCCCTTTCTACGGTCTATCAAGATGATTGGGCTAATGGTGGAAGGGTACCATACGTTTTTCGGGTGAACGAGGTCCAGGTTCGACTCCTGGTTAGCCTGCGACGCTTTTGCAATCGTTGGTTTTGCCATTCCTTTTAATGGTGGCCGATTGCCTTTTTTTTTTTCACCCGTTGCATCGAAAGCAAATTCCGAAGAAATCAGTGAAAAAGCGACACTCTGCAGTGATCTTGGAAGGCGCCCCCACCACCTAGGCAGGCTGGCTCGAGAGATGACCATGGGTGTCCCCCTGGTGATTGTCAGCAGCTCAGCACCATGAGCAATAAGGTCCGCTCAAACCCCCTCTCATTAAAAATCCGCACCGAAGCGCTGCCCAGCGATTCCTTTTTTGGACACTCCGCCGCTACCTTTTTTACCCAGCCAACTTGGTATTTTTCTTAGCGTAGAGACTTTCCTTTACGCTAGATATCACCATGCCCCTATGTGATATTTGCTACAGGAAAAACTAGGAACAAGGGCTTTATTTCTTTTATGCGGCGGTCCATCTTTTTTTTTTTGGATTAAAATTGAAGAGCATCTATGGCTTTTTGGGTCTTGCGCCAAAAATAGTAGTGCCCACGCGCACGTTGGTGGCCCCAGCTTGTAAAGCTTGAAGGTAGTCGGCCGACATGCCCATGCTTAGCTCCAAATCGCTTCCTTTGCCGAGAACCTCGTCCGCTGTCTTCTTGCAATCAGCCAGGCACTACAGAAAAAGAAAAAGAGGATGAGGGTGCAACCCTTTTTTATCCAACTTTTTTTTCTTACGAGGAAATCGGGATTGTCGATGGAAGGGTCACGACCAAACATGCCGATGGTCATCAAGCCACCAAGCTCCAGTTGAGGGCAGTGCTGCACAATATGCTTGCATACGTCCGAGCATTGTTCAGGTGCCACACCACCCTTTGCCTCTTCCCGGCTGGTATTCACTTGCACAAACACTCTCAAGGGCTTGGCACGTTCGCAGCTCACACAGGCTTTGTTCATTGCGTCGGCTTTTTTGATGCTGTCGATAGTTTCCACGACAAACAAGTTGGGAATAGCTATGGAGAGGGAGGTCAGTGTATACCCATGATCGGTATGATCCATCTGTTTACCAGCAACCAATTTGCACTTGTTACTTTGGAGATGGCCAATAAAATGCCAGGCAATATCTTGAGGCATCTTTCCATTAAATAAAATAAAAAAATGAGTGTTGATCGCATTCGTTTGAGGGAGCACAGTCATACCTTGGCACTTTTTTCTACTAGCTCTTGGACCTGCGGGTAAAATAATAAGAAGTGAGCTGTTCGTATTCCAAGTTTCATAGAGAGAAGACGTGACGATCGACTTGCATAGTTTTCACCAAAATGACGTTGACCAGCATCGTAAGCGTATTGTAAATCTTCCACAGGTTTCAACTTGCTAACAGCTACCAATCGAGCCTATCCACGGTGTTCAACAATGTAAGAGATATGGTTAGTATTGAATGAGGTCATTTCCTGTTATACCATGCCTAAAAAGACTTACATTTTCTTTATGAGGCACAGTGGCGATGGCAGCTCGCACGTCTTGGATGTTTTGGACGATTTCTTGTTGTCGTTCTTCAGCCATGGAATGGATAGATCGTTTAATCACTGGAGCTAATCGATGAAGCGCACGTTGCATAATCTTAGTCTTCACCACAAGACCAAGAGAAATGAAAGAATGTGAAGAAGGGTTGGAAAAAAAAAAAAAAGAAAGCGGTCCCCGGAGCTCGGGTTTGTCATTTTTCGAAAAAAAAAATGGTATGAGCAGCAGGGTGCTTTTTTAATTATGATTGTGAGGCGAAGGAAGAGACGTGTTATATGTCTAAATCATCATCGGGATCTTCATCGTCAAAGTCATCGGCAGCATCTGGTTCATAATAAATAGCACCACCAGCAGGAGGTGGTTGAACAGATGGCATGTGGCCCTCCAGCTCGATTTGCTGTGCTTTCAGGTATGGAAGAACGAGACTGTCTTTGGTCTTGCGCTGTTCTTCGGTCAGGGTCAGGTTGAAGGACAGGTTGGCGGTGGGGTCAGCTACAGGCTCGGGCGTCTCGATCACAACGTCCTCGTCGGCCTCTTGATCAAAGTCTGTGACGACCCACTGGTTGGTGTTGGCATCCAAGTAGAAATGGTTGGTTTCGTAAATGACCTTGCCGCTCTTACGTCGCCATTCAACTCGGGCCAATGCACCGCGAGTGATCTGGTTGGCTGTGATGGGTAAATAGCCAAAGGTATCTTGAGCAACAAAGCCGGTCAGGCGGGAATGCTGATCTGCGTGATGGGTTGAGGCTGGTAATGGGTCGAGGTTGATGATGACAGAGGCAAGGCGGTTCAGCGATTCGGACAGGGGAGGAAGTGTGGCGGTCAATGGCCGCTGGTCGCTGTGATAGCCAAGCACAATGCGGGTCTTGTCTGGAGATATATAGGTTAGCACAGTTGGATGGATTAAACGCCTGCTTTGTTACCGGAAGTCAGAGAGAGCAAGGCATTGACGATTCGGAAAGCGCGGTGAGAGGAGATCATTGCAAAGGGAGTCAAAGCATCGATGACGATCAATGTGTTGGGGTGCTGATCTAGTTTTTTCATAACAAGCGTCAAGATGGAACGTTCCATATCGTTGTCCAGACGGATCATGTGTTGTTGGGGCACTTGTTGCTGTACCTGGTCATCCCAGCCATCGGGATCGGTAAAGGCGTCGAGTATACAGAGGCGAGGATGAGGCTTAGTGAGGCGGAGGGCTTGCAGCCAACGTGTAGGCGACCATTCGGACAACAGAGCGATGACTTGATGGTCGGATGAGAGCGCCTTTTGGGTAAAAGCAGTCAATAATGGGCCAGCACAGCATTCGATGGAATCATTGATGATCGTCAATGGAGCTGTTTTCCGTTGTTGTAATAGCTGATCTAAGCAGAGTTGATGTGCCATTGGAACAGCAAAAAGCAAAGTAAAAAAAAAAACAACACTAGCGGGGTTGCGATTTTTTTTTTTTTTTTTTTTTCGCAGGAGCTTGTTATTCAGCGGGAACGCATGAATTTTTTTCCAGTTGTGATGGAAGCATGTTTCACTTGAAAAAAAAAAAGTTTCGTTGTTGAAATACCAAATTGCTGGGAGGGTGAAGTGGGAATAAAAAAGGGCAGCTTAGCTTATGCAAATACTCGGTATTCTGTAAAGGACTGAAGCCAATGACAGGCATCCTTTTAAGGCTTGATTTTTGATTGCTGGTGTTCTCACCGTTTTTTTTCAAAATATACCGTCAGATATAGGCTCCGAACCCTTTAAATACCTTTGTTTTTTTTTTGAGTTTTCTTTCTTTTCCCCTTGGATTTCCCCTTGCTTTTTTCTAATGTCACAATATCCATCCTCTCAGATCCTGTCTATAGACTTGTCAAGCTTTGACCAAAGACGGGATGAAATTGTCCAAGCTATCATGAAGGCTGCAAAAACGCACGGGGTTTTTTATGGTAAAGGAAAAGAGCCAAGCAAGTCCCTGGAAACCGCTTGACGTTTTTATACTTTGCAGTCAAAAATCATGGCATTCCTATCGAAACCCTCAGAGAAATGTTTTTGGTTAGCAAACAATTCTTTGCCTTGTCGGATAGCACCAAAAAGAACTACTCGTTGGATGTGCCCAGAAACGCTGGCTGGGAACGGTTTGCTCAGGTAAAGGGCAGAAAAAAGGCTGGTGAGAAACAAAGAACTGACCAAGCTTTTTTTTTTTCTTAGATTCGTCCGCAAACGGGATTGGCGGATTTGAAGGAATCGATGCAACTTGCCTTTCACCATATTCCTGACTTGTGGCCAGATGACAAGGATGTTCCTCATTTCCAAGACAAAGTGCAGCAGTTTATGGAGGACTGCAACCAAGTGTCACAACGATTGCTCGAGTGCCTGGCGATTGGTCTTGGGTTTCCTCAAGATTTTTTTACTCGTTGTCACGACGTTTCTCAACCTGATGCGCTGAACACCCTGCGCTTCCAACACTATTACGATTTGACAGGCAGCTCCCATGGCTCGGAATACTATCGTGCTGGACCACATACCGATCCTGACACCTTGACATTGCTTTTCCACGAAGAACACGATCAGACCTCGGGCTTGGAGACCTGCCAAGGCCGCACCGACGTCACCACATTTGAGCAAGGCTCGCTGTGGCTGCCTGTGACACCTCAACCTGGCGAGCTGGTGTGCAACATTGGTGACATGATGATGCGCTGGAGTGATGATGTTCTGAAGAGCAACTTCCATCGTGTCAACCTGCCAAAACATGACCTTTCTTCCCGTTACTCTATTTGTTATTTTACGCAAGCCAACAAGTCAGCCTTTATCCAAGGTCGCACAAAGTATACTGACGGCTTGACAGCTGGGGATTATTTACGTCAGCAAATGGAGCGCAATCACCAACGCCTGAAGAAGCTCTTTGATCAACGGGAACAGCAACGCAAGGGACGACCTCAACAAAAGCACACCCCTTTCCAACCCTCTTCACAACCCTACAATAACAACAACGTACCTGAGCCCGTCCTTGCTATCTAAACCAGCGAAAGTCCTCTTTTTCAGCCCTTTTCCCTTCTTCGTCCGATATCCCCTTTGACCTTATTATACATAGCTCTGCGAATTTATATACATTACTTTTTTTCTGTTGTACACATGCTCTTTTTGATTTTTTTTTTAATACAGACACTCTTGCTTTTTTTCTATATCCGGTGCTTTGCTTGGAATTGTTCAAAGAGTTGTAGGGATGTTTCTCGCTGACTGGCTCTTGTGCAGATGGAAGGCAACACATGGTTTAGATGGCGCTGTGCAATGGCTGGTATCTTGGTATTTTCGCGTAGTGCCACGGTGGCTGCCTCACTGTGATGCCCCACCAAAAAAAAAAAAAGTGACGTCAGAAGCCCTGGAGTCATTGCAAATCCCGCAAACTTACCGGAAGAGAAGTTGGAGATCAGCACCGGTGCAATGGGTCGTATGTTTCGCTAGATCCTGGGTGTTGACGTCGTCGTCGGCCTTGAGATGGCGTTTGATGGCCTCCATGATTTGCTGTCGGTCCTGTTCGTCTG